ACCCGTATCTCAGTTATGCATGGATGGATTTTGTTCAAATTTGGTACATACATTAAACATAATAGGACCTTGATGCACGTCTTTTTTTTTTTCGGATCAAGTTCGAAATGGCCGACTGGCGGCCATTTTGTTAAAGAATTCAGTTCTGGATCCGTATCCAAGACATGTCTGGATTGATCAAGTTCAAACTTCACACACACATGGTACATCATGTCACAAATAGATATGTGCCTTTGTTTCATGATCTGCTTAACAATAGCGAAATGATGGCCATTTTAAGGCCGAAAATGCATCAAAATCACGTATTTTCACAATTCCAGAACCGGATCTCAGTCATGCATGGATGGATTTTGTTCAGATTTAGCACAATGTGTTGTACATATGCAGGTGCATTTCGGTCATGATCTGCTTTGAATGTATATGTCACTCAAATATGAACGGAACGGGGACGTGTCATTGACAATGACTTGTTTTTTATAGACACTGTAGTTTGAAATATGCACAAAAATGTTTTTTTTTTGTCAAAAGTGATTTAAAAAAAATTAGCTTCTAAACCATGCCTCTGTTTTCTGTCATCTGTTTACTATGAAGAAAGTGTCATCTTGAAAACTGTCTACCAGTTGTCAATTTTGCTGGGCAGCAGCTCAAATTTCACTAGTTCAAAATTATGCATAAATTAACACCCAGGCTAGTTGTCTGTGCGATTGTTGTAACACTGTTCTTCCAGAAACAATGCCCCGATGGCGTTTTGAAGATAAACACAATGTCAATCATTTGTGAAAATTTCAAAAGAAAAGGTTAAAGCGTCTAGAAGTTTTGTTTTTTTTTAAAGTTCTGGGATGTGCACTAAAAAGACGCTGAGATAATTGCTAATTTGCATATTTTATAGTTAAAAATATATGCTGATTTACATCGCCGTGGGATTTAACAGAGTTCCACTAATGATTTTAATTTCAAATTTTCACAGAATACAGATGTTCATACAATGCCATAAAAATTAAAAAAAGTTAAATTTTTCAAAATTTGCAAAATAAACTGCATCTCTACCTTAAATTGTTTCTTTAAAGAGTCATTATGAGTAACTTCCACATTTTTTACATCCTAAATAGGTGATTACTATTAAACTAATTTTTTTTAACTTATATAATAATAATAGTTTATTACGCAACTGTAATCTGCTGTGGATACAGTAAGGTAAAAATAGTGTAAAATAAAACAAATAAAAATAACTACAAATTTAAAAGTTCTAATAACTAAAAAAAATCAGAAAGTAATAAAAATACAGTAAATAAGGTAAAGGTTCTCCCTACCCAGGGGTTTACACAGGCGGTGCTTTGTATATGGTATTTTTAAGATATAAGGACAGAGCAATGTTATTTTCCATAATTTTTAAGAATATATATATGGTTAATCTGTATGCATAGATTACCTTACCCAGTCTATACTATGATCTTTCTTACTCTTTATATTCCATCTCTCGATCTTATGCAGTGATCTGCCCCATATATCTCTACAGTATGCTATGATTTGACCATCTTTTATATTCCATCTTCCAATCTTATGCTGTGATCTGCCCCATATATCTCTACAGTATGCTATGATTTGACCATCTTTTATATTCCATCTTCCAATCTTATGCTGTGATCTGCCCCATATATCTTATGATATCTCCATCCTATGCTATGA